CATCAGTGGCAGAGAAAACTGTGTACACAAGAACAAAAGTCCCAACAATCTCAGCGCCAAGGCCATCACCCTTGGTATAGCCATGTTTCACCACATTAGCTCCACCGCTGAGCAACTCATACTGCTTCTTTTGGAACCCCTTCACCACCCCGGCACCAGCCATTGCCCCAAGGCTTTGCACGATGATGTAGAACACGGATCTGGTCAGGGAGAGCTTCCTTGCTAGGAAGAGACCAAATGTCACAGCTGGGTTTATGTGACCACCTGCCCAACATATCAAAGGTTAATATAATGTTACAACGAAATATGAAAATTGGTGAGGAAACATATGGTTTGAATTCATTTTTGGCTTAATTTATACACTGTCAACTTTTTACTGCAAAATAAAGATGCAGATTTTCATTTTTCCAGAAATTTGAATTTGTGAGGTAAAGTTATAAAAGACCAGTAAATCCAACAAGAAGATCAGGAACAAAGTTGATATCTTAAACAAATCCAAATTTTTTTACTCTACTATTCTTATTTTCAGCAGTAAAAATTGCTAACTATACAAGAATTTAAGAAAAATAACCCTTACAGTTAATCCCCATAATCTAAAGTTCTCACTTTTTTCTTCTCTTTTTGTTAAGTGGTTTATTTATTTTTCATCAATTTTCACACACCCAAGTAAAACAGTCAAGTCCTCCAAATTTCCCAGGCACACCAGTGTTCAGATTCCTCAAGTCTAATTCATTCCTAGCAGATGACCTCATTACTCAATTGACAAACATGAAAATACACAACAGGACATAGCTTAACTAAAAATATAGAAAATAAGGAAAGATGGGATTCTATTAAGAATATTCCGATGAAAGAGCCGAAAAATGGCATTGCTCGTGATAATGATGATTTTGAAGAAGTAGTAGCTCACACAACAACTGTGTGGCTACCACAAACCTATTTTTGCCAAAACCTTAACATTCACCCCAGAATTTATCAAGAGGACTAATCATTCAAAAGACTGTACCCTTTGAAAACTATACTAAGCAGATATAGCTTCAAATCACAACTCACGACAACGAGAATCAAGCAAGCAAAGAGAATTAAATCAAAACCAGAGATTCTCATCAACTTGCTTGTCCCTTACGAGCTCTGCAACTTCCTCAATACCATGAAAAGCCTCAAAATCCTACACATTACACACAAGAAAACAATCCAATCATAAAAAACCAATCACCGCTCCGAAACCAATCACAATAAATTTGACGCGAAACTGAAGTTTGAAGCTTTACCATTTGATTAGCTGATGAATCCAACATAGTAGCAATCAAAGCATCCAAACAAGCTCCTTGCTCAATCACCACGCGATTCGGTAATATATTCATCAAAACCTACAAAAACCCAATTACAGAAAACTGCATTCTCACCTCAGTAATCCAACCTCCATAGATTTTGGTTGAGCTATTTAGCTACATTGAGTACCTGAATGGCCTTGTGCTGATGAGCCAAAACCGCGCTGTCTGGATGAAGCAGGCAGCAACCCTCCAAAACCCCAAGCGCAAGCGAGACCCGGAATCGGTTGAAGGGTTCGTGATCTTCAGCGGCTCGACGCCGAATATGTGATCCAAATTCTGCACGATCTCATCGTCCGAATCTGTCAGCGAGTGCCAAAACAGAATGGGCACCACTGTAAAACAATAATTAAATCAATTTCAACAATCAGAAAATTAAGCAGAACTAGGAATTTTGTAATTTTCTGGTTACCTTGAAGCTCGGGGAGTGATTGCGTCTGAGAGAAGAGGCTGATGGAGGAACCGGACTCGGCGACCGATCGGAGGAACTTGAGGAGGCCGCAGACGCGGAGGAACGACAACTCGGCGGAAAGTCGCGGAGGCTGCTCCGGAGCGCGAGCGTACCACGCTATAAACTCTCTGGTGGTCAACAAGTTGGCCGGATCGCCTACGGCGGTGGACGGCGGTCTCGTTCAGATTCCGACGAGGCCTTCGGTATTATTCCCTCGTCCCATAGCGGCTTCTTCTTGTATATCGCCCCAGCCTTTCACTCTCACTCTTTAGAATTTCAAATCTTTCTCCTCTGCCTTTTGCCCCGGAAATGTTCTGACAGACGACGACGTTTCGTTTAGCTTTGTAAGTAAGTTTAGCCATTGCATGCATATGAGATGCCCCACATCCTTGCTGCCTGCTGGTCACATGAGTACTATTTTTACTTAATTACTCACTTGGAACGAAACAAGTTTATATCTCAAAAGATGAGTAAAATTCACCAATCTAAGACACTCACACTTGTATGTCATAAGATTTGAAATGTGCAATCCAAATACATCGTAATTAAATTGCACATTTTAAATCATGTGACACACGAGTGTATTTAGAATCTTGTGTAAGATTAAAAACCGTTGTAGATTAGTGCATGTTATTTCTAAGAGTGCTGAAGTTTGTAAGCATGGTTGCTTAGGATGTATATCATAAGCAGTTTAAGATATTACCAAAAGGAAGATCTCATATTCAATTTTGTGCTACTAATCAAAGGGTTTCAAAAACAACAATACACACATCCTTACATTTTAGCGAATTCATAGAATAACAATCACATTTGGGAGTGAGTAATCATATTAAATCGCAAACTTTTAATATGTTTATCACATCCTAAGCATACAACAGACTGAAAGAAAGAAATTTCCACACTATTTGTGAAAAAATATTTACAGATTAGTGTGTTACTTGACGTATAAATAGATTTCCATATGAACTTAAAGTTAAGTGTCGGCATAAAGAATACTGTTACCGTAAAAAGCCTAAAAAAACATGTTTTCTAAAACCATTTTAGAGCTCATGCATGTGTTTTTGGGTGAGTTTTTGGTGTTTTGTTAATTACGTTGAAATTTCATTGCTTTTCTTTTCGTGTTTATACAACGAATTTTGTATTGAAATCAGTAACTTATATGTTCACAAGGTTACTAGTTGCTGTGTTCATAGGCTTCGCAACTGCACTTGAAGGCTGGGGATGGAGGCTGCTGCTGAAGCTGACCTTCTACTTCAATTGGTGAAAAGGTGATTTTTTTAATCTCATGGTTCTCTTCCGATACCTTTGTTCTTTTATGTTAGGGCTTTTGATGAATCTGAAAAATTTTAATGGGGTCTTGGGTTTTTATTTTCATGTTGTTTTTATAAAGGCAATTGGATTCATGTAACGGTGAGGCATAAACAACATGGTTGGAATTGGAACCCACAAAGCTCAAAACACCATAGCTCTTTACAGTTTTATGAAAGTAATTTATGACGGCTCGTATATTTTCAGAGACACAAATGGGTTTTCACAAAAATGTCTCACCGAGGTGGGAAATGAGCAAAACTAGGCTGAAATTTCAAGGTTGGGTCACTTTTTAAAGATGTTCTGCTAAGTTGCTTTTAGAATTTTGGTATATTATATAGGAAAATTAGTCTTTGGCATAATCTGAATGTGGCATATCAAAGTGCATGGATTAAGTGATTACAACAATTATATGGAAAAATTTGAAGCATTTTTGTTTTGTTTGGGTTGGAGTTGCAGTTCGATAACTGTCATATTTGAATTATTTACACCCTTGATTTGAAGTTTAGCAAGGAAATTGATTAACAAAATTGATGGATCATGTTGGAAGAATAGCAAGTGGAGCTTGAAAATGGAGAGCAAAGCATTACACCAAATCACCACATTCGAGATATTCATCTGACCAAGCTGGATTGGCAATGCTGCATCAGTATTTAAGCCATTGAATAATGTAGTTAGCTCTTAGTATTACTCGGCATGCGCACCATATAGATTGTGTACTTTTTAGGACCAACAACACCACAGTGAAAGTATGAAATAGTTTCAGGCACCTACCGTCACCCTCCATCTTAATTCAACAAAATCAACGCAAAGACGATTGAGGAATGAAGAAGAAAAACTATATACCAACTTGAGCATCTCCAAAAGTGATGTCAAATACTAAACATTAAATTCAAATTTGATGGCTTATATGTCAATTTGACTTCTTCATTCATTTTAATTTCCGACCGATATGTTACTTTATTCACTGTTCTAAAAATTGGCAGTGTTTCAGCGATTTAGATCAAATTGTCCAACAAAATCACGTAAGAGTTAGGCGCCCACCTAAGTGCTCTCTTGGTAATGGGTTTTTTTTTTATTTTTTTTTTTTTTTACATACTGACTCTCACTTGTCTTCGGTCTGTCGCATCTCTCGCAGACAATGGAAGATCTAATGAGAAGAGGGAGAGTGGGTACATAAATTTAATTTACATCTTGAGAGAACAAATTTACATTTATTTTTCAATAAGTTGCAAACTGTCAGAATGCGTAATTCACATTATTTAGACCAGGCTAAAATACATGGAAAACACCTCAATTCTTGGGAGACAAATTCACATTTATTTTCTAAACAAGTTGCAAACAGTCAAAAGCCGTTTTGGAGAATAAGAGGAAAGATGAATGACTCCCACAACATAGATGATTCTTCTCCACTTTCATTTTTCATTTGTCTTAATCAAGTTTCAAAGTAAATTACAAGTTGAGAACAATAGAGACCTACAAACCAAAATATACACGATGTAAGTGGAAATGTACTGTCTTGACTTAGACCCCATGCAATACTTCAAGCAAGCTCTCAAGAGTTGCAGGTATTTCGAATAATTCCACTACGACTGGGGTCTTTACAAATTTAGTCTTAAGAGTTACTAGATTAGAAGACACACAATAATTGACCGACTTATATGTATTTGCACATATATTATGCTAAATTGTTGTTAGTGAAGAATCATCACTGTCATTTGACCAAGACACTACTTTTCATCTTTTAGCAACAGTTCCTTGCATTGTATTCACTTGAGACTGTTCGTTTATTGTGTGATTATTGTTAATGCGAGGGCCTCCGGACTCGCATGAGGAATTTTAGCTAACTTGGTTTTCGCATACAACCATATTACCGTGACGATAGTTATTTTGAAATTTACTGCACGAAATGTCAAGGCAAGCATTTCATTGAAGACGACCATTTTCTTACAAATTACTGATAGTGTAATTCAAGGTTGATAATCTCGAGTCTAGACATATGCCCAATGCTTTCAGGTACTGTTCCACTCAATTGATTGCCATAGAGAGATAATTCTTGCAATGATGAAAAGTTTGTGAGATTAGGAATTGATCCAGAAAGATGATTGGATGAGAGGTACAGAGTCTTTAATGCGTTCTGATCAGGGCATGCAGACATTAATATTTGAACCAACCAGGAAAGTTGTCCACTCAGAGTGTTGTTTATAAGGCCCAATTCTTGCAGATTACATAACCCGGAAAAAGATTGCGGAATCCCTCCTTTAATTGGGTTGTAAGAGAGGTCAAGAGAAACAAGGCTGGCATTGTATTTGGATAACCACACAAATATGGAAGAAGATGAAGAAAATGGGAGTTGGTTGTTCCTGAGAACAACATGAGCAAGAGATTTAGAAGAATTTATGTTAAAAAGAGTACTGGAATGAATTAGAGGAGATGGAAGACTACAAGAAGACAGAGACAAGTTTGTAAGTTTAGGGAGCTTATTAACTGCTTCCATCTAGTCTGGAACATTACTGAGATTGGTGTAACTCAGGTCCAAATATGTTAAAGCAGAAAGATGAGGCAGCCAAGAATTCAGATTTTCTACATTAGCAAAGTTATTGGATCTGAGATCAAGATATCCAAGGCTAGCATTGTATTTGGACAACCAAAGAAGTATGGAAGAAGTGAGTTGGTTGGAACTGAGGTCAACATGAGCAAGAGATCTAGAAGAATTTTTGTTAAAAGGAGTACTGGAATGAGTTAGAGGAAAAGGAAGACTGCAATCAGACAAAGACAAGTTTGTAAGTTTGGGGAGCTTATTAACTGCTTCCATCCAGTCACGAACATTACTGAGATTGCTTCCACTCAGGTCCAAATATGTTAAAGCAGAAAGATGAGGCATCCATGAATTCAGATCTTCTACATTAGCAAAGTGATTGAAGCTGAGATCAAGATGTTGCAAGTGGGTAAGGTTTCCAACTTGACTTGGAAATTGACCACCAAAAGAAGCATAAGAGAGATCGAGGTGCCTTAAGTTGGAAAGAGACCCAATGAAATCTGGAACTTGGCTTCCATTGAAGTTAATCTGTGAAAGGTCCAAATATTTCAAATGCTTCAACTTAATCAGTTTAGGACTCATCATCTTACCTTGCAAATAATAATAGGTATTCTGTGGGCGTCCTTTCTGTTGAAGTGCGTAAGCTTGATCCAAATAAGACCATCCAAGATGAAGTTGAGTAACATGGTTGGTTCGATTGCTGCAGTGGACGCCAAGCCATTGGCAACAATCTTGCTTGTGTTCTTCTCTTCCCCACGAGGAGAGGAGATCATAGTCATCCACCAGGCCTTGTTTGAAAGCAATGAGTGCTTCCCTTTCACTCTCTATGCACCTCGTCACCACCCGATGGCTAATTGCTCTGAAATCGGCAGAAACATTATAGAATCCAGAGGATAGGGAAGGGTTGAAACATTGTAGAAAAAGTAGCACCACAATGGAAGTATGAAAGAGTTTCTTCAAGCACATGATTCCGTCATTCTCCATCTTAATTTAACAAAATCAAGGCAAAGACGATTGAAGAATGAAGAAGAAGTGTACAATCAGAATTGATTTAGGAGCACAAGGAAAGCTACGAGTGTTTTATAAGGCTGGGTGAGTACGTAATAGTTCACAATACAATCCACACGCTGAGTTGTCTTGACTCAAATGGTCAAGTATGGAACACGTGTGAGTGGACCAGCTACTTTTCTGTAGGTAGGTGTAGTAATTAGAGGATGACTCGTCTCTCCAAAATAATGACAAAGCCTGCAACAATCAACACAATTACGCGTTGATTGTTTCGTTCTGTTTACGTTTTAGAAGTCTTTTGGTTTTTTGTGGAATTAGAAAACAACATATATGCGCGTAATTTAAGTTATTTGGACCAAGCTAAAAAATGCAGAAACCATCTCAACTCTTGAGAGAACAAATTTACATTTATTTTCCAAACAAGTTGCAAACCATCAGAATGCGTAATTCACATTATTTGGACCAGGCTAAAATACACGAAAAACGCCTCAACTCTTGAGAGACAAATTCACATTTATTTTCCAAACAAGTTGCAAACTGTCAAAAGTCGTTTTGGAGGATAAAAGGAAGGATGAATGACTCCCACAAAATAGATGATTCTTCTCCACTTTTGTTTGTCATTTATCTTAATCACACTTCAAAGTAAATTATAAGTTGAGAACAAAAACTAGGCTGAAATTTCAAGGTTGGGTCACTTTTTAAAGATGTTCTGCTAAGTTGCTTGTAGAATTTTGGTATATTATATAGGAAAATTAGTCTTTGGCATAATCTGAATGTGGCATATCAAAGTGCATGGATTAAGTGATTACAACAATTATATGGAAAAATTTGAAGCATTTTTGTTTTGTTTGGGTTGGAGTTGCAGTTCGATAACTGTCATATTTGAATTATTTACACCCTTGATTTGAAGTTTAGCAAGGAAATTGATTAACAAAATTGATGGATCATGTTGGAAGAATAGCAAGTAGAGCTTGAAAATGGAGAGCAAAGCATTACACCAAATCACCACATTCGAGATATTCATCTGACCAAGCTGGATTGGCAATGCTGCATCAGCATTTAAGCCATTGAATAATGTAGTTAGCTCTTAGTATTACTCGGTATGCGCGCCATATAGGTTGTGTACTTTTTAGGACCAACAACACCACAGTGAAAGTATGAAATAGTTTCAGGCACCTATCGTCACCCTCCATCTTAATTCAACAAAATCAACGCAAAGACGATTGAGGAATGAAGAAGAAAAACTATATACCAACTTGAGCATCTCCAAAAGTGATGTCAAATACTAAACATCAAACTCAAATTTGATGGCTTATATGTCAATTTGACTTCTTCATTCATTTTAATTTCCGACTGATATGTTACTTTATTCACTGTTCTAAAAATTGGCAGTGTTTTAGCGATTTAGATCAAATTGTCCAACAAAATCACGTAAGAGTTAGGCGCCCACCTAAGTGCTCTCTTGGTAATGGTTTTTTTTTTTTTTTTTTTTTTTACATACTGACTCTCACTCGTCTTCGGTCTGTCGCATCTCTCGCAGACAATGGAAGATCTAATGAGAAGAGGGAGAGTGGGAGAGAGAGAACTAGAGAATAGTTCAGACACAAGTCTGCAATTGAAGAGAATGTAGTGAGACAGTGGTACTTAGAGCATAGCAACTTACACGGAGGCTGTTCTCACGAAAGATTCCTGATGTATTAGTAGGAGTTTAATGCTCTACGTTATTACAGCAAGCTACTAATCAATTTGTTGAAGTGTGTTGAATCTTTACAGAATATGGTCCTTATTTTGTTTTTCTGACATTGCGCAGCTGAACTGATGCATTATTGGGGGCGCTGGGTACGAAAATCCAGTTTCCATTACGTTATTGCAATGATGCATGCATCGTCTGTCATGCTAAATTGCCCAATTGGTGCACTCGATAACCTCATGTTTTACGTTGGTTGGCTGAAGGTGGCAATGAGAATTAATGAATGATGAGAATCGTCAATTAAACCAGTAGTGAGCTCTTACTCAAATCAGATTTTAATAATTCGAATTACTTTTCTCGGTTGTCAAGATAATGCGGTCTGATTAGACTTAAACAATAAAGAATCAACAATTGATGATGTGAGATATATTGATTGAATTATCTGTCAATGTAATGTATGATGTTCTCAATGTTAATGTTTCCAATCTTTTATTGAATTATCTGTCTCCTTGTTCTCTCTGTAACTTGATTAATAAATTCTTGCAAGTTTCTCAAAGAAATTATTGAAAATGATCAACTGGTACACTTGGTAAAAGAGGATGAAAAGAACCTAATTAACCCCTCAAAGATAATCTAAGTAACATCATTGCAAAAACAAAAAGGCCACTAAATTAAACACAACACTTCACTAAATTATAACTTCAAATTGCACTCTTCAATCTCCTTCTTCTCCAGCATTGCTTACCAACGGTAGATGCATGAGCTAAAAAGATTAAAAAAACCACAACATATATTAGTCATAATTTAAAGACTCAAAACTTCAATAATAGTATTCATTATGTGGAAGAGTACTTACAGTTTACCCATCAACCGTTCTTTGTTGCCTAATCAACGTCACCCTCACATAAAGCCAATCGTACACATAGTTCAAGAACTTGTAGTATGTGTATCTCCATGACCTGATGAATATCAAACTCCCACAAACTCCCCAAAATCCAACAACAAAACCAAGCGCCAAACTCAAGTAAAATCCTGTTGTTATAAGCCCATCATTCTCTTCAACTTGATCCCCAAACATTGGTTGCTCCTCTGGACTTGTTTCCTCAGGAGAGCACAACTGTTGAAGTGGAATTCCACAAAGCAGAGGATTTCCAACAAAAGCATATGAATCATAGGTTTGGAGCTGAGTCCCAATTGGAATTTTTCCAGACAAGTTGTTGTTTGACAAGTCCAAATAACCAAGACCATATATTTGAAAAAGGCTTGTTGGTATTCCACCATAAATGTGGTTTCTTGACAGATCAAGGGACTCTAAGGACTCCAACTTCCCAATCATTGGAGTTATTTGACCTGTTAAATTGTTTCTTGACAGGTTTAAAGAAACCAACCCCACAAGATCAATGATTTCCTTAGGAATCTCCCCCGTTAATCGGTTACTCGACAGATGAATACACTTTACAAGCCCCAAAGTACTTTCATATTTGGACATCATGCCTTTCCATATGAAGGATGCTTCCTCAAAATAACTCAGCTGTCCAATTGAGCTATTATATGTATTCCAGATAGTTAGACTTGGACTTCCTTTTAGAGCCAAATTAGTCCAATTATTGACGCATTTGGGTATATTTCCAGAGATGTTATTCATCGAGAAATCCAGAATTTGAATGTCTCTCATATTACACAATTGTAGTGGGATGCTTCCATAGAAGTGATTAGAACGGAGGATGAGGATAGCCAAATTTGGAAGTCCAACCCCTAACCATTCAGGTATCAAACCTGATAAGTTATTTTCTCCGACATCAAAAACACCAAGTCTGGTTAAGTTGTTCAAGGATGAAGGCAATTCCCCCACAAACCCATTATTGTTTAACTTCAACGTTTTAATAGAAGGTAAAGAGCCCATTGTGGTAGGAATTTTCCCATAAAGAGCATTATCACTCAAATCAAGAAAGGCAAGATTTTCAAAACGTGTCCAACAATTAGGAAGTTGTTCATACAAATTGTTGCTTGAGAGATCAAGAAAGGCTAAACGACTAACCTTGTTCGAAGTCTTTGGACACATGAAAGAAATTAACCCTGAAAGCTTATTGTTGGAGAGATCTAGATATGTCGCTGTGGAAAGGAATGAAGGGACTGGACTTTCCAATCGGTTCCAACTCAAATTCACTTGACTAAAGGATGATGAGGAAAACTCAAATCTTGAATTTGGAATTGTTCCTCTAATTCGGTTGTTGGAAAGATTTATAAAAATAGATCCAGGATCCTGATGAGACAAAGGGCTCCAAAACCAACTTGGAAGGATATCAGAAATACTTGCATTAGAAATATCCAGGTCCTTATAACTTTTCTGATTTTGAAGCCATTTTGGGAAATGTGGACCCACCATGCAAGAGCTCAAAAATATCGAATACAATTGGAAAGGAGGAATCCAATTAGAACTGAAGTTTAAAGATAGTGAGGTATAGGACATATCCAAATCCCTTAATCTGGAGAGATTAGAGAAGTGGCTTTCCGAAACCACACCGTCCAAAGCATTCATACCAAGGTAGATACTCTCGAGCCTAGACATATGCCCAATGCTTTCAGGTATTGTTCCACTCAATTGATTGGCATAGAGATCTAAATATTTCAAAGATGAAAAGTTTGTGAGATTAGGAATTGATCCAGAAAGATAAGTGTTTGTGAGGGCCAAAGTTTCTAATGAGTTCTGATCAGGACATGCAGACATTAATATTTGAACCAACCAAGAAAGTTGTCCACTCAGAATGTTGTTGGAAAGGTACAATTCTTGTAGATTACATAACCCGGAAAAAGATTGCGGAATCCCTCCTTCAATTTGGTTTTCAGAGAGGTCAAGATGAACAAGGCTGACATTATATTTGGATAACCACACAAATATGGAAGAAGATGAAGAAAATGGGAGTTGGTTTTCACTGAGATCAACATGAGCAAGAGATTTAGAAGAATTTATGTTAAAAAGAGTACTGGAATGAATTAGAGGAGATGGAAGACTACAATAAGACAGAGACAAGTTTGTAAGTTTAGGGAGCTTATTAACTATTTCCAGCCAGTCAGGAACATTACTGAGATTGCTTCTACTCAGGTACAAATATGTTAAAGCAGAAAGATGAGGCAGCCATGAATTCAGATTTTCTACATTAGCAAAGTTATTAGCATTGAGATTAAGATATTGCAAGTGGGTAAGGTTTCCGATCTGAGTTGGAATTCGACCACCAAAAGAAGCATAAGAGAGATCGAGGTGCCTTAAGTTGGAAAGAGACCCAATGAAATCTGGAACTTGGCTTCCATTGAAGTTAATCTGTGAAAGGTCCAAATATTTCAAATGCTTCAACTTAATCAGTTTAGGACTCATCATCTTACCTTGCAAATAATAAAGATATACTGTGGGCGTCCTTTCTGTTGAAGTGCGTACGCTTGATCCAAATGAGACCATCCAAGATGAAGTTGAGTAACATGGTTGGTTCGATTGCTGCAGTGGACGCCAAGCCATTGGCAACAATCTTGCTTGTGTTCTTCTCTTCCCCACGAGGAGAGGAGATCATAGTCATCCACCAGGCCTTGTTTGAAAGCAAGGAGTGCTTCCCTTTCACTCTCTATGCACCTCGTCACCACCCGATGGCTAATTGCTCTGAATTCGACAGAAACATTATAGAATCCAGAGGATAGGGAAGGGTTGAAACATTGTAGAAAAAGTAGCACCACAATGGAAGTATGAAAGAGTTTCTTCAAGCACATGATTCCGTCATTCTCCATCTTAATTTAACAAAATCAAGGCAAAGACGATTGAAGAATGAAGAAGAAGTGTACAATCAGAATTGTTTTAGGAGCACAAGGAAAGCTATGAGTGTATTATAAGGTTGGGTGAGTACGTAATAGTTCACAATACAATCCACACATTGAGTTGCCTTGACTCAAATGGTCAAGTATGGAACACGTGTGAGTGGACCAGCTACTTTTCTGTAGGTAGGTATAGAATTAGAGGATGACTGTCTCTCCAAAATAATGACAAAGCCTCCAACAATCAACACAATTAGCATTGATTGTTTCGTTCTGTTTACGTTTTAGAAGTCTTTTGGTTTTTTGTGGAATTAGAAAACAACGTATATGCGCATAATTTAAGTTATTTGGACCAAGCTAAAAAATACAGAAACCGTCTCAACTCTTGAGAGAACAAATTTACATTTATTTTCCAAACAAGTTGCAAACCATCAGAATGCGTAATTCACATTATTTGGACTAGGCTAAAATACACGGAAAACACCTCAACTCTTGAGAGACAAATTCACATTTATTTTCCAAACAAGTTGCAAATTGTCAAAAGTCGTTTTGGAGGATAAAAGGAAGGATGAATGACTCCCACAAAATAGATGATTCTTCTCCACTTTTGTTTGTCATTTATCTTAATCACGCTTCAAAGTAAATTACAAGTTGAGAACAACAGGTCAACAAACCAAAATTTCCACGATGCAAGTGGAAATCCATGCGATAGTTCAAGGTTATTGACTTAAATGGTCAAGTATGGAACATGTGTGAGTGGACCAGCTACTTTTCTGTAGGTAGGTGTAGTAATTAGAGGATGACTCGTCTCTCCAAAATAATGACAAAGCCTGCAACAATCAACACAATTACGCGTTGATTGTTTCGTTCTGTTTACGTTTTAGAAGTCTTTTGGTTTTTTGTGGAATTAAAAAACAACATATATGCGCGTAATTTAAATTATTTGGATCAAGCTAAAAAATGTAGAAACCGTCTCAACTCTTGAGAGAATAGATTTACATTTATTTTTCAAACAAGTTGCAAACCATCAGAATGCGTAATTCACATTATTTGGACTACGCTAAAATACACGGAAAACGCCTCAACTCTTGAGAGACAAATTCACATTTATTTTCCAAACAAGTTGCAAACTGTCAAAAGTCACTTTGGAGGATAAAAGGAAGGATGAATGACTCCCACAGAATAGATGATTCTTCTCCACTTTTGTTTGTCATTTATCTTAATCACGCTTCAAAGTAAATTACAAGTTGAGAGTAATAAGGGCCAACAAACCAAAATTTCCACGATGCAAGTGGAAATCCATGCGATAGTTCAAGGTTATTGACTTAAATGGTCAAGTATGGAACATGTGTGAGTGGACCAGCTACTTTTCTGTAGGTAGGTGTAGTAATTAGAGGATGACTCGTCTCTCCAAAATAATGACAAAGCCTGCAACAATCAACACAATTACGCGTTGATTGTTTCGTTCTGTTTACGTTTTAGAAGTCTTTTGGTTTTTTGTGGAAATAGAAAACAACATATATGCGCGTAATTTAAGTTATTTGGACTAAGCTAAAAAATGTAGAAACCGTCTCAACTCTTGAGAGAATAAATTTACATTTATTTTCCAAACAAGTTGCAAACCATCAGAATGCATAATTCACATTATTTGGACTAGGCTAAAATACATGGAAAACGCCTCAACTCTTGAAAGACAAATTCACATTTATTTTCCAAACAAGTTGCAAACTGTCAAAAGTCGTTTTGGAGGATAAAAGGAAGGATGAATGACTCCCACAAAATAGACGATTCTTCTCCACTTTTGTTTGTCATTTATCTTAATCACGCTTCAAAGTAAATTACAAGTTGAGAACAACAGGGACAACAAACCAAAATTTCCACGATGCAAGGGGAAATCCATGCGATAGTTCAAGGTTATTGACTTAAATGGTCAAGTATGGAACATGTGTGAGTGGACCAGCTACTTTTTTGTAGGTAGGTGTAGTAAGTAGAGGATGACTCGTCACTCTAAAACAATGACAAAGCCTGCAACAATCAGCACAATTCTGCGTTGGTTGTTTCGTTCTGTTTACGTTTTAGAAGTATTTTTGTTTTTGTGGAATTAGAAAACAACATATATGCGCGTAATTCACGTTATTTGGACCAAGCTAAAAACGCGGAAACCACTTAACTTTTGAGAGAACAAATTTACATTTATTTTCCAAACAAGTTGCAAACAGTTAGAATGCGTAATTCACATTATTTGGACTAGGCTAAAATACACGGAAAACGCCTCAACTCTTGAGAGACAAATTCACATTTATTTTCCAAACAAGTTGCAAACCGTCAAAAGTCATTTTGGAGGATATGAGGAAGGATGAATGACTCCCACAAAATAGATGATTCTTCTCCACTTTCGTTTGTCATTTGTCTTAATCACACTTCAAAGTAAATTACAAGTTGAGAACAACAGGGACCAACAAACCAAAATTTCCACGATACAAGTGGAAATCCATGCGATAGTTCAAGGATTTTGACTTAAATGGTCAAGTATGGAACATGTGTGAGTGGACCAGCTACTTTTCTATAGGTAGGTGTAGTAATTAGAGGATGACTTGTCTCTCCAAAATAACGACAAAGCCTGCAACAATCAACACAAAAATCGTTTTGAAGGATAAGAGGAAGGATAAGAGGAAGAATCATCGCTGTCATTTGTTCGAGACAATACTTTTGGAATATTATTAAGGAAAACCGCTTCAAAATTTTGAATTTTAATAATAATAATAAAAAAAACATCCTATAACTTTTTTTACAAAAAAAAAAAAAAAAAAAAAAAAAAAAAAAAAACCTAACTACGCCCGTGCAATTGCACAGCGTTTTTTTCCCAGATTTTTCCCAGCTTATGTATTTGCTTCAATGGAGTCTTTTATCCATTTAAAATGTATGCAGCAACTTTTTTTTAAAAAAAAATATTTATGTGGAGTGATTGATGGCAGGAGTAAGGGGGTTCATAAAAAAAAATAAAAAAACTTGCAGGAGAAGGGTTTTTTTTTTTTTTTGGAAGAAAATAAAAGCATTCTTACTTTCCTAGAGAGAACTTGTGGAGTTCATTAACATAACATAAGGAACTCCAAAAAAAAACTTTGAGTTGTGAACCATATGAATTTTCAATTACCTCCGGTTCTAATTGGTTCTTTGTTTGATTAGAAAATATAAATAATTGAAAGAGTTCAATATAAAACACTGGACCAAGAAAAAGACACTATTTATGAAACTAGATTAAGAAAGAGACTATTTATGAAACTGTATCAATTACTATACATTATTTATGAAATTGGACCAAAAACTAGACATTATTTATGAAACATGACCAAGAACTAAGCATTATATATGAAAGTGAACCAAGAACTAGACATTATTTATAAAACTGGATAAAAAATGAGAAACTATTGATAAAATTGGATCAAGAATGAGACACTATTTATGAAAATGTACCAATTAGTGTACACTATTTATGAAACAGGACCCAATAACTAAACATTATTTACAAAAGTGAACCAAGAACTAGGCACTATTTATAAATCTTGACAATAAATAGTGTAGTACCATTTAGTTTTATAAATAGTATAGCACCGCAGTTTCATAAATAGTGTTCAGTTTCATAAATAGTATAGTAATGTTAAGTTTCATAAACAGTATAGTATTGTTTCATAAATAGTGTCTGTGATGGACGTGGGCATCTAGGCGAGTCAGGTTTTTTTTTTTTTTTTTTTTAAATATTAAAATTATGTCATTTTCATTAAAATTTAAGTTTTTTTGTCCTCTTTATTAAAAGTTAAGGGTTTTTCATTACAGTTTAAGTTTTTTTCATTGAATAAAGTTATAGCATGATTTTTTATTAAAATAAACTTAACCTAAGTTCTTTTCATGAAAACTCTCATATTATTATTCATTTTGGGTCTTTTACTTTTAGCGACAACAGTTCCTTGTGTTTTATTCACTTGTGACTATTCGTTTATTGTTAATGCGAGGGCTTCCAAACTCGCATGAGGAATTTTAGTTACCGTGACGGTACTCCGTAGAATGTTGTATGATTTTGAAATTATACTGCACAAAATTTCAAGGCAAACATTTCATTGAAGATGACCATTTTCTTACAAATTACTGATTGTATTTCATTGAAATACAAAGAAAAACAAAACAAAATGCCTAGGGTGCTTTCTATGTTCAAATTCAGTACAAATCTAAGGACTCTATCACACAACGAGCTTAGGATGTGATGATCAGTTAATCTCTGCTCCAGATCAAGAGTCAAACCAAACTGACTCGCTATCCATATCAAGGAAGCAGATTTCTCACCCAAAAGATGTCTTATGTCCTCATTCATGTATAGTTGCCAACGGTGGCCCATCCCTCCCATTTACATGACCAATTAGAGGCAGCAAGAACTCTCCACATTTCAACCTATTCAAAAGCAACAGTGTTTTTCTTCAGTGTGCATTATATTAGCAAAGAAAGGACCAAGCCTAGGCACACCAGTGTTCAGAATCCTCAAGTCTAATTAATTCCTAGCAGATGACCTCGTTACTCAATTGACAAACATGAAAATGAGCAATAGGACATAGCTTAACTAAAAGCCTAGAAAAAAAGGAAGGACGGGATTCTATTAAGAATCGTCCGATGAACAAACCTATTTTTTGTCAAAACTTTAACGTTTACCCCAAAATTTATCCAGATGGAGCTTTAAATCACAACTCATGACAACGAGAATCAAGCAAGCAAAGAGAAATAAATCAAAACCTGAGATTCTCATCAACTTGTTTGTCCCTTATGAGCCCTACAACTTCCTCAATACCATGAAAAGCCTCAAAATCCTACACATTACACACAAGAAAACAATCGAATCATGAAAAAAACCCATCACCGCTCCGACACCAATCATAATAAGGGGTATATTCAATTGTGATTTTGTGGGATTTTAATTCTTTTAAAGAATTTAAGGGTATTCAATGATCATTTAGGATTCTAAGTTATCTTCTGAAATTCAAAGTCTATTTAATTAAGATTCTGAGATAGTTTATTACAATGCTTAGAAATCCGAGTATATTCAATTAAAATTTAAAGGAGTTTATAACATTCTAGGTGTATTCAATTAAAAATTGATTTTAAAGAATTTTAAAAAGTTGAGGAATTTGAGAGAATTGGAAAGATTTTGTAGTGTATTTTAAGCATCCATATATCTCACGTCTTTCATGAGATTTCGAGGGAATTGAATCAAACTTTATATAAAATCTCTACAAAAATTAAACTCCATAAATCTGACTCAAAACTGAAGTTTGAAGCTTTACCATTTGATTAGCTGATGAATCCAACATGAAAGCAATCAAAGCATCCAAACAAGCTCCTTGCTCAATCACGCTGCGAGTCGGTAATATATTCATCAAAACCTACAAAAACCCAATTACAAAAAACCGCATTCTCATCTCAGTAATCCAACCTCCATAGATTTTGGTTAAGCTATTTAGCAACATTGAGTACCTGAATGGCCTTGTGCTGATGAGCCAAAACCACGCTGTCGGGATGAAGCAGGCAGCGACCCTCTAAAACCCTAAGCGTAAGCGAAACCTCAACATCGGTTGAAGGGCTCGTGATCTTCAGCGGCTCAACGCCGTATATGTGATCCAAATTCTGCACGATCTCATCGTCCGAATCTTTCAATGAGTGCCGAAACAGAACCGGCATGATTGTAAAACGATAATTAAATCAATTTCAACAATAAGAAAAATTAAACAAAAGATTAAGCATAAACTAGGAATTTTGTAATTTTCTGATTACCTTGAAGCTCGGAGAGCAATTGTGATAGTGCGTCCCGGATTTTTCGTACCGTAGAGGTGAAAGGACAGTTTTGCCCCTAGTGTTTTTGTTTCGTTGTGTGGTCGTTTTGAGGTTTTGGTTGGCTGATTTTGGACCACACACACACACACCCATACTCATTCTCATCCTTTCCCTATCTCGTATCCCTGTCTCTCTCTCCCTTTCCTTTCTTCCTTGTACGGACAAGGTCAAACCCTCGAAAATGTGGTAGATCGAGGAAGAAAACTATACATTTGTGCTTGTGAGGTTCTTAGGAGTTCAACCATACCCATTTTAGGTAAGGATACCTTCGTTTTCACGTCGAACTCAAGATGTTCAAATCGAGGTACTGTTCATGCACACGTAAATTCATGTGTTTTTGGGAATTTCAGGCTTGTAGGAAGCTTGTTGAGGTCCTTAGGAAGCTCGGGGTGGTTCGTTTGAAGGTTTTGGACGTCGGGATCATGAGTTGCAAGTTTGGCAGGATTTGGTGGAGTTTTTCCGGCGAGATTCTGTTGGTTTTAGTGCTTGAAAGTGGTAAGGTTTTGTTCTTCTAGTTGTAAGCTTCATTTTGGTACCAACTTCATGAAATTTGGGTGAAAAACGAGTGAGAAATGAAGTTTGGAAAATTTCCCAGTTTTCCGGCGACGGCGAAAGCGCCGAAGGTTGGCCGGAGAAGACGACGGAATATTCTATCAGTTTGGATGGAATATTCCTAACGACGTTAGGTTAAGTTTAACGAAATCTGTCAGAGTTAACGGAATATTCCTGACGGCGTTAACTGACGTTGTCAATGTGCCAGGCACATGCCTGTGCATGGACGGCGCGTGGGGGCGCGTGCGGTGTCGAAAAATTATTTTAAAAATATAGGGATGTTCGTGAGGTTGAGTATATCACGTTGGTGTATTCATAGACCCCATTTGAGCATTATATGAGAAGTTTTTACCTAGTTTGGGTTATGTGCATTAAATTAACGTTTTTATAGTTGTTTCGCATATAGGTGAGACCTATCCCAAAGACGAGCGCAGTTACTCGAGGTAAGGGGGTTACGACCCTTCTACATATTAGTGAGTGGGCTTTTGGTTTTCCGTATATACCTATATACTTGTGATTTTCCTAGAAAATGAAATGAAAAGTTTATATGTTTTAAATGCCATGCCTTGCGTTTGCCTAATTAATTATGCATTAGTAGTTGCATATATATACATATATATACATACATATATATATATATATATATATATGTTTGGTGCTGCGGACGCACAGGTAAGTGCCAGGTAAGTTGTGGTTTATGTTTATGTTTATGTTTAGTAGTGAATTGAGATGCATAGAGAGCTCATAACCTGCACCCCCAGTGTTAGTGCTCCCGCCCAGAGTAGGGCACAGTCCTTCATGTGATGTTCACCTCCCGCACCACATGCTCATCTTGGATCCAAGTTAGGTGCACAGTCCTGTCGTACAGACCACTTTAGGTGGTTCCGACTTGTAGGTGACCCGCGATTATTCGCCCAGTCTTCACGTGATCGTAGCACTTGAGCGTACTTATTTTACACCCAGTCCTGTCGTACATACCACTTTAGGTGGTTCCGACTCGTGTGTAGGTATAGTTAGTGAGTTGGGGATTTGAGCTCTAGATTCAGTTATACAGGTCACGTTAGGTAACTCTGACTGACAGATTATATGGCATTGATTGACATTACCTGAGTACTTGCATTTTATTTAGAGGTATTCAACATGGCATATTTCTGAGCATGTTTTATATATGTGTGTATATTCTATTTTCTGGGAAACTATACAGGTTTTACGGCGAAGATTTAGAACTTTTGTTATTGAAATGATTTTGAAAAGCTTTGTTTTTGCCCACTCACGTTTTCTGTTTTGCGCCCCTCCAGGTTCTAGTTTAGATAGCTCTTTTGGTGGCTCTCGAGGAATTCTCGACATATCTGACAGATTGTCACCAGAGTATGACCACCTCAGGGTGTGTTTATTTAGTGTTTGTCCCCCATACTGCACTAGGTCTTCCGTGCTTTGAATATTGTTTTTCACACTTACGCTTGCACTTGTATGTTATCTACTTAGTGTATAGCTTGGTTTTTATTTATTCGTACTTTTATTATTATTCTTAGCTTCCGCACTATGCACATGGTTACGTCACCTTCACGTGACGACCAGCACGCCCTGATCTCGGTCGGGGTGTGTCAGCGATTGTGTCTGAGAGAAAAGGTTGATAGTGGAATCAGACTCAACGATTGATCGAAGGAACTTGAGGAGGCCGTGAGCACGGAGGAAGGAGAACTCGGCGCAAACATCGCGAAGGCCACTTCGGAGCCCGAGCTTGACCTCTTGGTACACTCTCTGTTGGCTCAACGAGTTGACCAGATCGCTTACGGCGGCAGACGACGGCTCTGGTTCAAATTCTGACGAGGGCTTCGACGTTATCCCCTCACTCCATAGCGACTTCTTCAAGTACATTGCCTCAATCATTTACTCTCACAACGACGACATTTTGGTACTCTAGCTAACAGAGGACGACGTTTCGGTATATTTTTACACGTTTCATTTGGTTGTAATTTATTTGTATCTTATTGGATAAGTGAAAATTCATCAATTTAACCATTGCAGTTACGCTGGAATGAAATGTAAATTAAATTTTGAGAGATCATTTAAACATAGACAAGGATGGGCCGAATAATTCTTATTCCTAGTTCTTGTCACTACAAAAAAAATGAGCACTGCACACAAAAAATTATATGTGCCTTTTGAGGCCAAAAAGCACCAACATTTGTGCTCATAGACCAATAGCAACAGTGCAGCAACTAAGTTTGTATCTGTGCCCTCTATGGGCGTCACCATTACTTATAGCACACAATATGATGTTTTGTGCCCAAAGCTAAGCACAAATACAACCCTTATTGTGTCTTACCTCTAAGTATGGTGTAAGATGGGCACAATTGCTATTTTAAAGGCTCAGATTGCTGTATAAATGTTAAAGCAAGGGCACAACTTTAAAATTGTGCCACTATTATATTTTAATAAATACAATAAAACTTCAGCACAATTAAAAATTTGTGGCATAATTGGATATTTTTATTTAAACATGGAAATCATCAGGTTGCTCATAGAACCTAATTTCCACCTAAATTTAGAAACTTACAAATCATCCATTACAAACTAAACATAAATCAACATTAGCACTAAAATAGTGAAGTTAATATATTACATAACCCATGTTCTCGGCTAAGACCGATTCATGCAACCTAACAATACAACCCATCCAAATGTTAAACCAAAAAATACATGTTATCCTATGCTGGACATACCCGGGATTCTCTATATACAACAAAATATAACATATCCAAGCTTGTATCCCCAAGTCAAACGTACTAATGGTTAAACTAGCAATATATAAACAAAATACACATCTACAAGGGCTGCTTGATGACAACTAACCAGTATTCTCACTTTGGCAGTCCTCATGCATCATAGCACTAGAAATTGGAGGTCCACACTGCACATTCTTGTCATTTCCACCTTCGAAACGCGTTGAAATCTGAGCGTGTGAGCTTCCACACCCTTGCTGCTGATATATATATCTTCCTTCATTTTCCTTGTACCCAAGAAAAGAAAAACAATTTAGTGCCAAACTTAAAAAAAAAACCTGTAAAATCCACAGCAAGAATTCTTGAATACATATATTTTCAAACATATTTAGGCAAACACAAAATTCAAAACTAAATTTGTAGTAAAAAAAACATTTAAAGGCAAATCACATTGATAATATCAACCCAAATCAGTAAATAAGAGTAATATTGGGAAATATTGACCAGTACCTTAGACAAAAGGCCGTTTTCAATAATCGTGTGGTTGTTTGTAAACCCTTTGATGGCCACACAGAGTATCAAGAGTGATGTGATGACAAAGCCAAAATTTCCTACAAAGATAAAAAGAAATGAACAAAAATTAGTCAACTTTGATTTGAGCAGAGGAAAAAAAAACAAAAAAACAAAAAAAAAAACTCAAAATTCAAGGAAATGGAAGGAGAAAATCACAAATTACATAAGCAAAATTAATAAAACAATAAATAAAATAAGACACCAACATCCGCAAACATAAAAATAATGGGTAAAAGCAAGGAAATCCATCTGTTAAGGAGTTTTTTTTTGCTTTGAACCTTGACAACTGGATCTCCTGAACAGTAAGGTGATGAGCACAATGATCCCGGAAAAAATTGAGGCCATGCTTCATAAAATTGATCCAAAGTGTTATGAATGTTTTGAAGGGTGCAAGCACAACCGGAATTAGCAACACCAAGACAAAATTAAGAGGATGTCGTCACAACAAAGACTGAATCGATGATGGCTTCTATGGTTTGACAGGTATGCAAACAGTCGGAATCCATGAGGTACGAAAGAGGAATAGCGAGACAGAGCAAGTTCAACAACAATAGAAAAGAAATCTGTTAAACCAGCGGAAACAAATGGAAAACTGCAGAACATACAACTAAAATAGAGGGTGGGTCGATGGTGAACATGTAGATGGAAAGGGTAGAACAGTCAGTGGACTGTACAAAGAAGGAAACAGCGGGGAAAACAGAGGAAAATCCGAGGAACAAAAATGCCCACAGTGGATGTCCACAGTAATATCATTCCACATAATGTAAATCCTATAAGAAAAAAAAAATTGAAAGGCCATCTTTGAGTATGATCGACAAAACCACAACAAACATAGGTAGTTATGGAAATATCACACCACATGATTTGTATTAATTTATGATAACCATGGTCTGTAATGTAGTGGAAATATCCTACATGATTAGTGATAAACTAATTTGAAACAGGTTTTGCTTCCCAATAGCCATTTTTAGAAGCTATCCCAATTTTCTTAAGAAGCAAAGTTTTTTGCCCGCTTGAGTGCTCATAAATCACCAATGCCATTAATTAATTATTGAAAGCATGAACATCCCAATATGCATCTGAATGAACAAACCGTTGACAAAATTTACACATTAAAAAGAGTAGGCAAACAAAGAATAATGACACCTACACTTACCAATTTACACATAAATTCCAATTTTGAATCATTTAGGCTTCCAAAAAATTGCACAAAAATGCTAAAGAAAATGAACAAACTGAAATAAAGCAACATGTACACGCGAAGACTCACCCCAAATTGCTATGAAGGTCTGCTGCACACGCGAGAACACGTTCACAAAGCCTTTCAAAGGCTGATATCCAACTTTCAAATATGAAGATTTTAACCCACAATTGTTCTTTCTTAGCTTTAGCCACTTCAGCTACATAACCTGAAAATAATAATAATAATAATAATAATAATAATTAATTACAGTTAATTAATCTGGGTTAAAATTAATAAAAAAGCTGGGAAATTTCAGATCTAAAATCACACCTCAGGCTGCAAGTAGAATCAAAACCATGGAATTTCAAAACCACTCACCTTAAACACAAAGGTCTTCGCAGGCTTCAAATGTAATTTCTGCAGAACAAAAAAACCAAAAAAAAAAAAAAAAAAAAAACTTGGAAATCTAATAAAAATGAAGAACAAATATTACAAATCAGATAACCAAAATCACTAAAAACAAAAAAAATCAACATGCATGAAACGGAAAACTAATCTGTAAAAGCGAAGAAATCCATTTGCAAATATGCTTTTTGGTTTCGAACCTGGAAAGTTTGGTATTTTGACCAGCACACCGAGGAATCGAAACATACAAAGCAAAACCCAAAAATTAATCATCAGTATTCCTCTTTTTTTTTCTTTTCTTCTTTTTTTTTAAAGTTTGAGGGAAAAATCAAAGCACAAACAAAAAAAAATAACACCAAAGAGATAAATTATATACCTGACCCAGAAAAAGCTAGGAAGAATAAAACCCTAAAACTTGAAGAACAATGTTTCCTGCAACCAAAATGCAAAATCAGAGATAACAACCAGACGTAGAGCGCGAAAAAACAAAGAAAACGCTGGGCAAAAAAGCCGAATAGCCCATATTCACAACAATCAATCATAAAATTTTCTTCCTAACCAAACAGAAAATAAACCAACACATGAATCAACATACCTGAACGGGAGCGATGCGTTTGTGCAAAACAGGGGAAAAAACGCCAAACACCTTCGAGAAGATCCGATTGGAACCGAAATCAAAAAACAGACGGGAAAACTAAAGAGAAACGGAACGACTGAGAGAAAAACGAAGAGGAAAAGAAAAAGTAGAAGATGCTTCTGGCATCTTTCCTATAAAACATAACGTGGCCAAATAAGAAAAGAAAGGGGCAAAATAGACCATTTACTGCACAATCCCACCAAAGTACAAAAACCATGAATTAAATGAGGGGTAAAACCGGGTCGGCACTGTTAATGAACAGTGCCAAAAGGGGTAAAGTTGAAATAAAAGAAGAATGTGCGAGGACAAAATGGGAAATCCACTGGTCATCCACAGTGACCAACCCTTACGGGTTTTAGGATATATGATAATGTCTCATAATCTTTGTGTTGCCACGCTGTGAATTCACTGAATTCTGCGGTATGAAGCGGACGAGAAACATAATTATAACCTAAAAAAATATATACTAGGAGTAAATCTACAAGGGCTAATTAGAAAGAAAACATTATTATATTAGAATACGACATAAGTTGATAAAAGGACCCAAGAGGAGTCCAGCATAGCATAAGATAGTTATATTTTCATAGTACACCAGTGAAATATAACACAATACAAAATATATTAATTGTCCTCGTCATCGCTGCTTAAAATCTCAACGGTAACATTCTGCATATTTCGTGAGCTCAACTGTGGGACAGACAGACCTCTAGGACGAATTTGTGCTTGATAAGTGCGTGGTTCTTCAATAATAACGACAGAATTGGTAGACTGTTCAGTTGTTGTTTCAGCAGAAACCAAATTGACAGGATATTGTTCTGTCCTACCTGGGTTTGCCCATGCTGGCAATACACGTCCTTGAGGTGCGCGTACGCATCCGTTATTGAAGGGTAATGCGTAGCCAAGGCGACCATCAACAAAAGTAGTAAGAATGTACTGATTATTAAAAGGACGAGGCATGCGCCCGGCATTAACAGGTTGTCGTGGACGTTGAACTGGAGGATTCGTTGTGGAATTTTCTGTTGTAATGTTGGAAGCAATATATGAATGTGATGCTGGAGATTCAGTTCCAATTCTAACTCCACGACGTCGCCTGTCCGCCATTGTCAATGATGTAGAACTTGCTCAAATTCAAAAGAAACATATGTGTATGAAGCAACCTTCTTAATTTCCATATACAAATTAGTAAGGGAGTGTGTGGACGTTTTATAGTAGAATAAAGGCACAAATCCATAATTGTGCCAACATATTCTTTTGCTATAGAGTATTTATTATTTATTAATATTTACTGGACACAATTTCTAACATTTGTGTCAGAAAAGAGGAATTTATAATTATTAAAATATATTCTCTATTTGAAGACCCAATGAGAAGTAGAGTGATTTATTATTTATTAATATTTAGTGGACACAATTTCTATCATTAGTGTCATAAAAAGGAATCTACAATTATTAACTCATTTGTCTATCTGAAGACCAACTAACTTTTGCACAGAGACCAACCCTAAGGGCACAATTGTTGGTTATGTGTCACTGCAGGTAGGACTTTAAAACCAAAAACCATATCACCAAGTATAAAAAACAAACCTGCAAGAAGATAACAATCCAAAAAGCAATTCAAAAAGATACGAATCTAACAAACATTCATTGCACCTGGAAATGATCCTTTGTAAATCTAAAACATGCCACTTAGTACTATGGTGTAGTGGTATTCTTCTTTACTTGTAAGTGAGAGATCTGAGGTTCAGCTTTCGGGAAAAACAAATTTGAACAACATTATTGCTAACTTATTTTGAGGCTAAAATATTGCACGGTAATAAACAGCTTCATACCATTATTTACCACAATTTTATAAATTTTAATTATTGGTGTGCTAGTGAAGGTAAAGACAAACGAGAGAGAACATATAGTGCCTTTGACAAATAATTTTTATAGACACAAAATATTTTTTGTGCCCATTTTCAGTAAAAAAGTTGTCATGTGATCCCACTCGACACGATTTCCGTGCCCATTATTGTTTTGTGTCTGCTTTTTTTAACATTGGGCACAATAGATGGTGCCCTCTATGGAATGGGAATTGTTTAAGCTTTTTGGTGGTCAAACTGACACAAAATTCTCAATTGTGCCCTTTATTTTGTACCCAAAGCTCACTTTTCTTGTAGTGTGTTTTAACAACGTCGTAAGTTGAAGAAACTACATTGTTTATGAATTTTAAGTGAAGTTACATGGATGAAATGGAGTATAAACAAACCAAACAAACCAAACAAATAAACTACATTCATATCATTACTCATGTTTCATTATTTTCTCTTTTTTTTTCCTTATGTTTTTAAATGTCAAGTTATTTGAGAAATTGACCAAAATGATTATTTTTCAAATTTTAGTTACTAAAGTCTAAAACGGCCAATTTTGTATATGTCGTCAATATATGATTGTATTGTTGTCAATCTTTGATCATTATGTAGTCAATATCAATATTTAATTTTGATTAATTCAGCAATTTAGATTTTAATTTATGGTTAATTTCACACGACACTTAGTACTACAATGTAGTTGTGTTTTATCTTCACTTATAAATGAATGCCTTACAGTTAAAGCTGGTGAATGGTGAATTCAATATCAATTTATTAAGAAAATTTTATTTGAACCCATATAACTTATCTCTACACCAAATTTACTCTCTATACTCATATCATTTTTATTTAAACTATCAATATCTCTTTGAACCTAAATTTACTACCTAAACTACCCTCCACAACTATCAATACCAATTTATTTGGTTTTTGAGACGGTTCTTTGAAATTGGACGGGCTGATTTGCTACGCGGCACCATGTAGCCTTCTGCTCAATATTCATCACCACAAACATATAGTGAGCAAAAATGTACCAACATAACTCCATAGTAAACGAGAATTTGAAGTTTACCAGAAGATATAAAATAACAATGATACTCGTATGTATAGCATATGAAATATCAACAATGTCGTTCACTTTATGAATTTTTTCATGTCATGAACATATAATATGTTAGAAGTTTTTCACATGATTTATTCAATATTCCAGGGTATTGGATACTTTGAGTCTTTTAACCGTTCAATATTTTACAAAAATCAAAATCCGACATTTTTCATGTTATGAATGCGTAACGTGTTAGAAGTTGTTACACATGATCTATTCGATATTTCAAAGTATCGGATACTTTGAATCTTTTAACAGTTACATATTATACAAAAATCAAAATCCGACATTTTTCATGTTATGAATGCGTAACGTGTTAGAAGTTGTTACACATGATCTATTTGATATTTCAGAGTATTAGATACTTTGAATCTTTTAACAGTTAAATACAACAACAACAACAAAGCCTGTTTCCCAATAAGTGGGGTCGGCTATATGAATCCTAGAACGTCATTGCACTCGGTCCTGTGTCATGTCCTTTGTTAGATCCAAGTACTCTAAGTCTTTTCTTAGAGTCTCTTCCAAAGTTTTCCTAGGTCTTCCTTTACCCCTTCGGCCCTGGACCTCTGTCATGTAGTCGCATCTTCTAACCGGAGCGTCAGTAGGCCTAAAACAGTTAAATATTATACAAAAATCAAAATCCGACATTTTTCATGTCATGAATGTGTAGCGTGTTAGAAGTTGTTACACATGATCTATTCGATATTTCGGACTATTAGATACTGGGTCTTTTAACAGTTAAATATTATACAAAAATCAAAATCCGACATTTTTCATGTCATGAATGTGTAATGTGTTAGAAATTGTTGTTCACATGATTTATTTAATATTTCGGAGTATCCCCTTGAGGATTTTAACCGTTAAATATTATACAAAAGTCAAAATTCAACATTTTTCATGTAATGAAAGTGTTAGAAGTTGTTATTCACAAGGTTTCATAAATTTTTTGGTACTGTGTCAATTACCTCATTTTTTAAAACAACTACCTATATATTTTACTTATAATTTTATTAAAACGCTATATGTATATATAGTTGTGGTGTCCTAGAAAAGTAACAATTGTACAAAGTATGTTATGATTATTTACTCCAATTTAATTGGAACAACAGCAGCCTTAATTATTTTCATTTTTTTTTCCTTGATTTCTAATTAGGTTTTCTTGAATAGACCACACATGGATCAATATTTTAGCGGGCTGATTGTTGCAATTGTTAGGGGTGAAATTTTTTACCAAATTACCGTACCAACCGCCCTACCAACCATACCATACCAAATTATTACCAAAAATTTGTACCAATTGGTAATGGTACTGTATTTGTACCGTACCATACTGTTTTGGTACGGTACTGGTATCCAAAACCAGTACCGGTGGTATACCATACCTGCCAATATTATTAATATTATATTATGTATTTATTCATATAATTATTTGAGGGCAAAATTAATAATAATTATTGTAGAAGTGTAAAAAGTGTAAAAAATATATATATAATCGCACATAGTGACAAACTTTACAACTTTCATGAAGATGTCAACTTCAAAATCCAACACTATAATCCATAAACCTTAAATTTATATTTAACCGTCGATTGTCATTTACGTTTTATTCTTCTTATTGAATTTCATTTTTTAAATTTTCTTTTTTGAAAACATGATCATCTAGCGGATGTAAGAAGATAAACGGTTCAGATTTTTGATATCATGTTTCAATATTTACGGTTAACTGAAACATGAGTCAATGTCATATAGTTTGTAGAAACTTTATAAACATCAAGCAATATTTTTACTAATCATAAAACTCTAAACATAATATCAACAATCCAAACCGTTCATCTTCCTGCATCCTCTAATAGATCATGTTTTCAAAATAGAAAAGCTGAAAAAAAACAAAATTTGATGAGAAAAATGAAGCGTAAATGTAAACAACAATCAACGGTTAAATTTTGATCTATGATTTATATGATTATAATGACGAATTTCAAAGTTAAGCTCTTCACAAAAGTTGTAAAGCTTGTCATTACGAACGTTTATATATTTTTTCTATATTTTTTATACTTCTACATTAATTATGAAACTTTAGATTTTGGGTAAAGTAAGTAGCGTAAAACAAAATGGTAATTACCATTAACATATCATACCAACCAAATTATTTGGTATACCAATATTCGGTATACCGAAAGTTTGGTATGATAATAGTAATAAATTTTGCCGTTCCCAATATTTAGTATAGTAATTGGTATAGAGGTTTTGGTACGGTAATGTACCAAAACCACCCCTAGTTAAGATTATGGGTCGCATGAAATTTTACTACAAAAAAGTATCAAATAATCAGATAAAAATGTGAAGTATCGAACCTTGCAAAGTGACATGTAGTCATGATCGGAGCTCCGATCACCGATCCCGAGATCCGGCGCTTCGTCGCCGAACTCCTTCAGAACCGCCAAACGCTTCAATTTCCCCACCAAAACTTCACAAACCCGGTCGCCTTCTTCGTCTTCGTATTCACTTCGATCTCCGTCCCCAGCACCATGTCCCCGCCCAGAAAATCCTTCGCGAACGGCTCCACCATCACTGCCGGATTCGCCATCACCACCACCTTCCTCTTGCACTTGTCAAACACCTCGAAGCTCTCCGCCCTCACATCCGCCGCATGGAACCTAACAATTATTTCATAAATTCAAAATTAACATTTTAAATTAAAATATTTAGATACACATATACGTGTGTGTGTGTGTGTGTGTATTTACGGTACCTGGGGAGGACGGCGCGAGAGGTGAGCTCGATGTCGCGGATTTTGAGGCCGGAGAAGGAAATGAAGATAAGAATCTTGATGCCGAGGGCTTCGGAGAAGAAGTAGGAGACGATGACGAGGGGGAAGGATAGGAGGAGGACGAGGCCGCGGAGGAGGCTGCAGGCTTCGATGGCCACCAGCATGAAGGGAATGAGCTCCGGGAGATGAGCAGCGTCCCTTCCAGGTCCGCCGCGATCGACTTGTACGATGCTGTTTCGCTCGCGTTGCAAGCCGAGATCGACGGGAAGGTCCGCCGTTGCTTCTGCGGCGACATGGTTCGTAACTGAATCGCGCTCTCTTTCGGAACGAGTTTTTTTCTTTCTTTTTTTTAGGCTACTTTTTGGAGTGTGGAGTGGGGGAGTGAGAGGGAGAAATTAAGCGGGGGTTTCAACTGAGGGGGGTGGGGATGCAATTACTGTTGTACCCCTGCTGGGTCTAGTGAAATTAATTTACCATTTTTCATGTTTTTGGCTGGAAATATGTTTGGGGTTGGACTTTGGTGTTAATATTTGCATGAAATTTTGTCTTTTCTTATCATTTTTTTTATAAAAATCAACAGGGAAGAGGAGAGTTGAATGCGTTAGATGTCAGAGTAGAAAAAAAGAAGCGTTTAGAATGGTAACCAAACAAAGTGAAATGCGACTAGGTAATCGGCTACATCTATTACTATAATTAGAATTTATTGGATTATTGGTTTCTAAACTAAAAATTTACAAGTAATGGTCTTTGAACTTGTCACAGTGTGATCAATAATTTTTTGAGTAACTTCATTAGAATTTTGAGCTCCTATTGGTCTATGAACTTGTAGCATTGCTTTAACGAAAATACTAATAGAGTTATCCAAGCTGACCATTATTTCACATAGTAACAAGTTTAGGGGACTCGATACTCACAGTTTTTTAGATCAAAGACCAAAGCTTCAACTCGACCAAAATTCAAGAATCAACGCTAATTTTCTCGCTTGGTTAATTTACAGTTGATATTTGTGCATTTGATTGATTCCTATTGATTTTTCACTAACTGATTAGTATCTTTTGTCACCAAAATAATTGTCCTACAGCTAGCTAGTTGTAGGGTCAAGTGAGCATTAAATAGGTGGCCACACCCAAAAATAGCTATGAGACCAGAGATGTTGATGCGTTTAGACCAACTCCAACAATGGCTTATAACCTAAAATTCCCCTTTTTTTCCCCCTCAAAACCCACTCCAACCCATGTGCTAAACAAAACCTAAAACCCAAAACTCAAAACAAGGCCAAATACCGGCCTGTTTTTAGGCCAAAAGTCATTATGGGCCCTACTTGTTGTGAGTGAAACACGGGCTGTGAAGCCCAGTTCCCTTTCCCCGACTCGCCCACGCGCTGCACGCGCGAGGCACTTCAGCCAGCCAACAGCCCCACGTGGGGGTGTTCCCTCAGCAATCAATCCAAAAAGCAGCCCAACGACTACTTTTTATAATCCAACGGTCACGTTTAACTGGGCTATTGGTTAATCCAACGGTCCAGGTTCAAATTTTTTTTTTTTTTAGTTTTATATTTATGTATTTATTGAATCCAACGGCTTAGATCAAATATAATTAAATATAATGGTAAAAAAAAAAGATCTAACGGTCCAAATTTAAATCCAACGGCTAGAATAATTTTAAAAAATTATTTAACTCAAAATTCAACCAAAAACTCTATAAATACCTATGTATTTGTTCAAACATCCACACAAAACTCACTTTTCTCCTACAATTCTTCCAATTATTCTTTATACCATTTATTCTCATTTCTAGAATTTTCAAGATGGCAAAAGAGCATGTTAGAGGTCGTAATTGGACTTTTGACGAAGATATTGCTTTATGTTTGGCATGGATTTCGATTAGCGAAGATGGTGCCGTTGGCACCAATCAAAATAGAAAGGTTTTATGGGGTAAAATCGTTGATAAGTTCCATGAAAACTCCAACGCCGGTCGAAGGGAAGTTGGTGGTGTTTATGATCGGTGGAAGATTATCAACAAAGCGTGCACTTTGTGGAAAGGAAGCTTGGAGAGAGCCATGGTTGACATGCCTAGTGGAAGGGGCGCCTCAGAAATTGTGAGTTTATTTGTTGATATTTTAGTTGTCATGTACATAATAGTATTTTGCAACTAATTATTTTTATGTATTTGTTGCATAGGGTGACAAAGCAATGGCAATTTATAAGACAAGAACCACACCAAAAAATCAAGCTTTTAAGTTGCATCATGCTTGGAACATCCTCAAGGATTGTCCAAGGTGGGGGAACCGATGCGAACCAACAATATGGAAGATTATTTCATAATGAAGCCCCACCCCCAAATGATTTCAACGAAGGTGTGAATTTTGCCGACAATGAAGGTGTCGAACAAATGACCCCAACTTCTTCTTTTGCAAGGCCCCCGGGTAGAGATAAACAAAAGGAAGCAAAGAGAAAAGGGAAGTCCCAAGATCCGACACGTGCACAATTTGCTAGCGAAATGGCAATAATGAACGAAAACCAATGTCGTCGGCAAGAAGAATCGGCCCAAATGCTTTTGGCCATGAAGGAAGAAGGGGATAGGGAGCAAGAAAGGTACGAAACTAATTTGATAATGGAGGACCTCAACAAATACACTCCAGAGAGGAAGAGATACTTACGTGGTAAGCAAAATGAAATTTTACGAAGGAATGCCACAAAAAGTATATTTCAAGATGATGATTCATCTCAAGACTATCACCTAAGTCCATCACCAAGTCAAGATGGTGGATATCATTATTAAGTTTATGTAGTCTATGAGTTTTCGATTGTATTAAGTTTATATGGTTTATTAGTTGTCTTTTTTATTTTTTAAGTTTATGTGGTTTATTAAATGTCGTTGGTATTAAGTTTATGTGGTTTATCTTGATTTTCATATATTGATTTAGTGATTTTTCAAAATTTATTGGAATTTAAATATTTTTAGGTTAAAATGTTCATAAAATTAATTTAGGATAGTCTACATAATTTTTTTTTTTAAAAAAAGTTAATTTAAAAAAAATAGCCTTAATTCATTATTTGATAATCTGAGGCTAAAATTTTATACTAGAATGGTTGGAGTAGAAAAACTATTTCTGGGCTAAAACCTAAATTTTCTGGGCTAAATATTTGTAGGTTTTAGGTTAGCATTGGAGATGATCTTAGATGCGATATTTGGGACCATCGTCGGCCTGGATTTTTATGTTTGAAAAGTAAAACTTGCAAATACAGCTTTCTTTATATAATTCAATTCCTCACAAGCAAGCTTGTACATAAGATTTTTATCATTTTTGCTAGAAACTCTCTCCTCAAAATCACACAACATAGTTCAGAAATATACAAACGATAGAGAATATTGAATCAATTGAATTGAACAACGACAAACATTGTTGTATGACAAAATTTTCCAACATAACAATCCAATGTGTGATGATGTGCAACTTTGGTGACGGATATTTCTTTAAATTTTGAAATTTGAATCTATCCACTGCATATATCTTGAAATTTAAACTCATCTAACAGTGATAGATGAGTGCTGAGCAAAAATATTCTCATTTTCGACAATTCAATATTAAAAAATACTCTGATTTAATAAATGGTAGGTAATTTTAAACTTGGGTAGACGAGTATACTACTCTGACCAACCAACTTAAATCGCATCTGCTAATAGATTGAAATCAAACTCAAATTTTTCGGCTTTAAATTGGAGTCAAACTCAATTTTTCGGCTTGCCGTAAAAGGCCTAAATAATAGATTGACAAGACAATATCGTAAACTAATATAATTTACGAAGGAAAAAAAAAATTCGAATAAGTAAGCACATTGCCTTGTCAGCTGATGTAGACTTGCCATTTGACTTCGTAGTGAAGAAAATTGTCTCCCAAGAAATTAAATGTAGGAAGCATAGAGGGAGCTGAATACTGTTGGAAGTTAGATCATCAATCCGAGCAAATTTAATAATTTTATTTAGGGGGTTGGTTAGAGTTGGTGAAGCCTTAAAGAGTTAACTGTTTACTACCATATCTAAATATGTTTCAACTTTTATGATTGCGTGCAAGGAATTAATTTTAGGACTTGTTTGGTTGCCTAGAAAATGTTTACTACCTTTTTTACGTGTGAGAATGTTGTTAAATTCGTTGTTTAGGAGGAAAACCACCCATTATGTGAACACCAATTGCCAATGCATACTGTTTTCAGCTCTAATGATACCTCTTTTTGTTTCCAATCAAACTACTCCCGATATTGTCAAATGAATTGTTATTACGAGTATATCATTTATTGCTCGGAGAAATGTTCTTTTGTAAGACAATCTAAAATGTTAGATTGGTAATCTGAACTGATAGAAGTTGATTGTAATTGAATGTGTCGTTTATCAGCTGCTATTTTTTTACTTTAATATCATCACTGGTAAAAAAGCACTAGCTTCTGACGGTGAATCAGCTTATGAAATGATAAGACATGCTGATGCACAATCTTCACACATTAATGGAACGCATACAAAACACATTCATTAGCTGGATTCTTTCTGTCGTATCTATCCATTAACCATGAGAGTCGAACCAAGACGCCAAGGTGGTGGTATGTCAAGCCCATTACCCGATGTCATGTGTTTTAACTTGCTCACATGACATAACGTGATTTAGTTGGAAAACAGTCACCTTGGCGTCCCCAATTAGATGGTTCTCCAATGATATGTTCTACACTGTCCCCTTATTTACTAGCATAGAAGTTGTACCATCTTCAACAAGTTTGGATGCAAGTCTACGATAAATATGGTATGATTGATACCTAATGATTTATTGGAAATGAACCCGAAGCTCTATAACTATTGAATTGCCATACTGCAAAATAGTTAGAGAGAAGTGCAGATGGACAAAGAGTTTTTGGTCGCATATTAAAACCAAGTGGCTAACATTTCGAACGCTGGAAATGTCTATTATTGAGTATGGGATTACGAAAGACATTACCAGTGGTCTGGAAGGATAAGCAGTTCATAAAAACACACAAACTGGAAAACGGAAAATGCAGCATTCACATACGGTGATTTTCACAAATGTATAGCATTTCATCGACCATAAATGGATGCAAATGAGAAGTACCTAAGAATCATTTCCAATGCACTATGCTAATACTTGATCAAAAGCTAGAGCAAATCAGTAAAAATCTCAGGAAGCTAACCGACAAAATTATTATCAAAATACGGCACTTTAAGTTACCAGGAACCTCCTCCTGCTCTGAATCTCTCCTGCGCTTCAGCTGCCTTGTCCTCTTGCAATTGCCTTACAAGTTGAATAATTTTGGGATTGTAAAAACGGTCGCGAACATACTTCTTCTCCTCAGCTTGTATTTCCTTGATAGCGCTGGGATATGGGTTGGGAGGAGGCCTCTTCCCTTTAAGGCGTGCAATTTTCTTCAAGCGGGAATATGCCTTCTTCTTCTCTTTTCTCTCCATCCGGTATTCCATCTAGAAGACAACGTGAAACAACAGTCAGAAAACAACTTAGAAAACGCACACATTTAGGGACAGGAAATCCAAATACATACATC